AGGATTTTGATTTTTTTTTAACAGCCTTAAGTGCTTTACGGGAATGGAGCAGGAAAGGGGCACTTAACAATTTCAGAATCATTATATTCTTTTTTCATAATTTTTGGATTTTTCTAAATTCTTTTTATTTTTCAACTCTTTCTAAATCATCTTTCCCAATTATTTTCCCACTATGAAGAGTAGTGATAGCCTTCACATGTTCATACTTATTTTCATTCAAAGAAGAAGAAGAAGGGGTAGTTACCTCTAACTGTGCATGTGGATTGGGTTGGACTTGAGAATGAAATTTACCCTTCTCTTGAATTGACAATGAAGAAGTGAGTTTTGAAAGAGTGCTCTTAATCTCACCAATGTCTTGTGCATTCTTTTGATTTGCGGCAATTTGACTTTGCATGAATTGCTTCATAACAGTTGGAAATGTGCCCTAAGAGCCAATATATTTGATGTAATCTCCTTAGAATACATTTCGTATATGATATATAAAGGGCAAACTTATTTTGTTATCTTTTACATTGTGTAAAGAAACAAATGTCCAGGGTATGCAAAATAAGGGATAAAGTAACCTAAAGAATATTAGATTCAGGAGACCTTTAATCTCTAACTGTAGTATCCCAAAATGTTCCTAATCATAGGTTATCAAATGGGCATTGATAAACCGTCAAGATTAGCACATATTATGTATGCTCAATTGGGAAGATCGTTACTCTCAAACCATTTGTGTAGTTGTCACTAATATAAGTATGTGGATGCTCATTAGTGAATGAGTACACTGAACGCGATCAACCGTAGTTCTCGTATAAAGTATTCATAGTTGCAATAATGCAAATTAGTTCTTAGACCTGAGGCATCATGGTTGTCCTGTGATGCGTTATTGATCTATAATAGCTCTCAAAGGCAAGCCATAAAAGATTTATCTTAAGTGTTGTTGGGATCTCTTAATTCATCATAGGGGCATGTGAATGTACAATAAGGAATCTCTACTTTCGGTAAAAGAAGGAGAATGTTTCAAGATGTGATTCAGCAAATCTTTGGCCAAAGTATTTTGAGCTTGATTTAGAAAGTGTTTGTGCTTAATAAATCACGGTCATGAACTAATTGAAGGGACTTCCCTTCGGCCCTGGTGCCTACCGTTTCGTCAAGCATTTCGCCTTCCTAAAAACAAAAGAAGAGCTGCAAAGGCAGAATCCTCTCGGCCTCGTGACCACATTATTGAAGGTCGAGGCCGAAGGCCATAAAAGATACGGCTTAAAAAGGCTGTGGTTGAATCACCACGTGGCCTCAGGGCCCCACGCTTCATTTAATGAAGTAATGCCTCTGACTTCACAGCAAACACACCAGTCACAAGAAGCATTAAATGCACAAGGGAAGTGACTAAAGTCAGGATTTGGTGATGGAAATCAAGGTGGTTAGGCGCAGACATTTTCACAAGTAATCTTACGACTTAGGGTCGGATCACCAACCACCAGACCAGGGCATTAAATGTGTTCCCACGGCCAAGGGGGCAGAACCCACGATCAGGGCGGTGGCCGAGATTTACCGAGATTTATGGGGGTCACACCACCATGCTTCTCAACCCCAAACGGCCATGCTTCACGACCCCAAATGTCGATTTGACTACCCACTTGCCCGGTCAGACTCCACCGCGCAGGTCTTGTCAGCCTCGAATGTCCCTCCAGGACTCCTATAAATACTAAGCTCAGGACTACATTCAAAGGGTTCAAACACCAAACCAAAAGCCTCCCACGGAGCAAATTATATTTCCTGTAATGCACTTTCAATACCTTTATTTGTTGTCTTAGGAGTAGTGGTAGGTTGTAAGGAAAATCCATTCATCAATATATCATATGACCTTGATTTTCAAGGCGCCGGAGCACCATCCCTGTTATCGCCTCACTCACCCCATATATCATACGACCGTCGCTCTCTGATTAACGCGCCGGAGTACCGCCTAAAACCCGCCACCAACACCACCACTAAACGACCTTGTAGCTCAGGCCGTGAACCTGACGTCCGAGATCAGTTCCTCTCTCGGCCACAATCGTTTGATTAGGAGTCGAACGCAAAACAGGCGCAACATTTAAACCATCTTCTACCCGAACCTCATCATCATCTCGACGCACGGTAGACCGTGCTGGCAAGCCCGCGCACAACCGCACCGCATCCAAAAGAAGGACGTCACGTGTTGACGCACATCCCCTCGGCCCGGAGCACCAGGCCATGAGATTCGCGACTGACAAACAGAAAGTTGTTCTTAATCATGTTCTTTTAATCACATGAGGTTATAAATCATATTAGGGGTTTGACATAATCAATCCGTACCCTAATAATATGATTTGAAATATTGTATAAGAGAAGGGTTGCATTGCAATTCCAACTGAATATGTTCGTCATCTATTCTGGTTAGCTTGGGTAGCCTTTTTGGTTTGAACCACGACGTGGTCCTGGATGGGCCCCAACTATGGGTGGCATCCTTAAGCCTTAACCACAACCCAGACTAATTCCCGCTCACACCAGGTTGGCCCATAAGGGGTAAAGTGTTGGCCAAAGTGGTGACTCCATACGAGAGCAGGGATCGAACCTCTGACCTCTCTTAAGGAATGAGAGTGCCGAGCTTGGGTAGCCTTGATATATTGCTAGATGTCACTCTTGGCTTGTGGAAGTCCTAGGATTGATTGTGATCGATCCAAATAAAGGAAGAATTAAAAAGGGGTTTTAATTCCAGTTGGTTAGAAGGATTTCTAATATTTTCCCACTGCCTTGCTAATTAGAACCTAATGGATCGCACACCTTAAATGATTAACTTTGAGTGATACAAATGAGAATGAGGAAATCAATTTGATTGATTTGATGTGGATGATTTACTAAGTGTAAAAACGTATTTGGGCCTCGGTAATAGTTAACAGAAAGTCCAAATGGTTGGGTATCAAGCCCAAGGGCTTAAGACACCTAAATATTACGGTTTAAGTGTCACAAGGCCCGATTTTGGAAGCCCAATAGAGTTTGGCCGAAAATGCTTAAGTAAATATGTATGGGAATTGTTTCCATAAGCTAATTAACACACAAACACAATCCAACATCAACCAAATATGTTTGGGAGATCAAAGAGAGATAAAAGAGAGTTTTCAAGAGTGAAACACTTTCAGCTTTCAAAAGGGTTTAGATAGAAACCAATCTTGAGAATCTTGTACTAGCATCCTTGTATTCTCAAGATACTTCCTCTCTCATCTCAAGGTTCAATTGGTGTGGAGACTTAGAGGCCATATACTTTTGTGGCTCACATGGAGGTGAAAGATCAAGGAGCAAAGATCAAAGATCAAAGAGGATCAAACATCAAGAGAAACCCAAATACAAATTGGTTCATATAATTGCTTCAAGGGTAATTAGATCTTATCCTTTCTCTTGAATTTTCCATTTATGAAAAACATATCAATATTCATGGCTTAAGATACTTGGAAGAAGTTTTGTTTTTGAATTTAAACAACCACCATAGACTTTCGCTGCGATTAATTTGATTAATGCAAGTTTAATATTCAAATGAACTTCAAAAAAATGTTTTGAATTGTTTAAAGCGTTTAAATAATTAAAGGATGATTATGGACTTAGACCAAACAATTGAGCTATGTGATTGGCCGCCTATTGGATTTGTGTTCGATTTTGATTGGCTATGTAATAATGAAATGGCTTTCATGCCTAATTTATTTTTATGCGCGCGTAATTAAAATGAATCACCATCCAAGACCATGATCCAATATGGTGGCTCGTGTTGGATCAACAAGAAAGTCCATAATCATCCAACAAGCCCAATGCAATTGGAATGTTCGGTAATGATGATAATTAATCAATTAGTAGTATCAGTGTATTCCCACTGTCTCAAGCAAATGGTTTCTAAAATATTTAGTGGGGGTATTATGTGCTACTAATATATTGCACTGGGAACCACTTAATGAGATTAGATAAGCAATTTTAATATAATTAAAATTGGATTAAAATGAGACCAATTTAACTACCCTCAAAACAATATTAAGTTGATAATCGAAATTGCACTTTATACATAAATATTTTTTCTTTCGTTTAACCCCTTACTGCTCTGGGTTTTATTATGATGCCTTTAGTATATTGGCTTTAAGCTTTGTTGAATCAATAATTAATAAATAATGAAAATAACAACACGTTAATCTAATGGTGATCTTTATGGGTCTTGCATACATACAGTAAAAACAAGTTCTCTAAAAATATATTGGGTTTGTCATGCCTCAATTTATTTTATGGCTTTTTAATAATTGATAATCTGCTACAGGTTGACACAAGTTTGCATCTTAATTTTCTATATGTGCTCTCATGGAAAAATTTTATTGAATCAATATGGAGAAGACAATAAAAGGAAAGCAAAAAACGCAAGGGATCAATTTTGCTCCATAACATAGGGGAGTTGCATTCAAATTCTTGGATTTGTTGCTGGTAAGTTTTTTAAATTTTTTTTTATAAATGTCTTTGTTTTCAACTGATGATGGTACAAAATTTAAATTGCTTTCATAATTATTTTGTTTTGTTTTAGCTATTTCTGAAATGTTTGCTTCAAATGTTATCTAAGGTGTCAATAATCTGTGAGTAAAATGGTTGGGGACTCAGAGGAGAATTATGATTGTGTAATGGCTGATGAAATGATTTACATACCTGAAGTCAGAAATGAGGAAAGACCAAAAGTTGGGATGAAGTTCAATTCACTTGATTTTGTTTATAATTTCTACAATAGATATGCGTTATTGGCTGGCTTTAGTATTCAATGTCATTCCAGCGGGAGGGAAAAATACAGTAAAGAAATTCTAAGAAAAGAATTTGTATGTTGCAAACAAGGTGTGTTTAAAAAAGAAGAGCCTAGGGTGATAAAAAGACACTGAGGGATAAGTAGATGTGGTTGCAAGGCTAGGGTTGTTGTTGTAAAGGTTTCTGGGTGTAAGCAGTATGTTTTCTCTCTTGTTGTAGAGGGACACAATCATACGATGACACCCCCAGAAAGAGTGCATTTTATGAGATCACACCGTCATATTTCAGAACCTGCGAAGCTACTCACAAAACAACTCGGTTCAGCTGATATACCTACTCATAAAAATATAAGTATTTTGGAGGTACAATCTGGAGGAATGGAGAAAATTGGTTTTACCAAAAAAGATATTTACAATTTCGAATATTATGAGAGTGACCTAATGAAGAACCATGATGTTGAACTGGTGACTGAGTATTTTTTAGCTGAACAGAAAAACAATAGATCATTTTATTTCAAGATTGAGGGAGATTCCAATGACAGGCTTACTCGATGTTTTTGGGCAGATGCAACTTCTAGACGAGCGTATGGGTTTTATGGAGATGTTGTCGTGCTCGATACCACATTCAACACGAACCGATATGGCTTGCCATTTGCACCAATGTTGGGGGTTAATAACCATGGTCAGACAATTGTTTTAGCTTGTGCATTTTTAAGTAAGGAAACGACTGAGTCATTTATTTGGATGTTTGAGGAGTTTAAGAAAGCCATACCAAGTGGTGGGCCAAAAATGATCATTACAGATCAAGATGCAGCTATGGCTAGAGCGATTTTTGAAGTATTCCCCACTACATTTCATCGACTTTGTATATGGCACATCACAACCAAGTTCTCTGATAAACTACCACGGGCTGCTTATGAGGAATATTGGAAAGAGTTTAAGGAAACCATCTGGGAGATTGACAATATAGATGAATTTGAAGAAAAGTGGCATGCAATCGTTACAAAATCTGGTTTGACTGACCATTTATGGCTGAGTTCAGTTTTTGATTTGCGAAAATCATGGGTTCCAGCCTATGTAAAACATCTTTTTTCCGCTGGAATGTCAAGCAGTCAAAGAGCAGAAGGCTCTCATGCATTTTTCAAGCAATATATATCAAGGAGAAATTCCAGAAATTCATTAATAGATTTCATAACACGATTTCAAATGGCATTTTCCCATCAACGTCAAAAATGAGTTACTTATTGATCACATTGATGCATTTGAAAAGCCTCAATGTGCTCTATTGATGACAATGGATAAACAAATGGCTGAAATATACACAAAGGCAATGTTCCAAAAGTTTGAACAGGAGCTAATGCAAAGTTTACCGTGTTTTATGGAACTGAAAATGGATGACACTTCCAAAGCTATCTATAAAGTGAGTGAAAGGAAAAGGGGGAAAACAAGAGTGACATAAGTTGTATATGATAAATATTCCGATCAATGGTCGTGTAGCTGTAAAGGATTTGAATTTATTGGAATTCTTTGTTGCCATGCACTGGCATTGTTAAAAAGGGAGCAAATTGAATATCTGCCCAATAAATACATTTTTAATATATGGAAGAAAACTGCAAAATCTGGATTTGTGTCAGATTCAAATGACAATGAAATTAAAGATTGTGAGAACAGTTCTCTCTTAATAAAGCGAAGTAGAATGTTCAGACTTGCTTCAGATGTAATTGAGCATGCTTTAATGTCCGAAGAAGGTTGTGAGCTATTGTCGAATAATCTAAACGATAGGCGAGTGACATTGAAGTTATTGAATGATGGAGTTGGTCCTAGCGAAGTTGGAGGGTCCAGCTCCCAAACACGATATTTGAAGGACCCTAAGAGAGTAACGCACAAAGGAAGCTCGAAACGAGTCAAGGGAGCAAAGGAAAAGAGAATGGAGCGAGGGATCCAACTTTGTCAGCAATGTGGACAAACTAGTCATGATATAAGACGATGTCCAAGAATGGCGAACACACCGTAAGATTGTACAAATATTTATAAATAATAGCTAAAATTCCAAGTGGTTTATTTTATTGTAATATTATGCTTGGTGTTTATGCAGGACATCCCCATCAAACAATGAAGAATCAACTCCGATCACGGACCTACCAAGTGATTTATGTTTTTACTATACGAAGCTCATTTGCCGTCAATATTGGTGAGCATTTTGAAATATGATTCAATATGAAGAAATCTTATTATTTTGTGTTGTTTCGTTTTGTATCAGCTTTTGTGTTTTTTTTCTTGATTGGTTTTGGTTTTCTTTGAAGTTTTTTTGTTTCTCGATTGGTGGTGTTAATTTTTTGGAGCCTTTCTTTCTTGCTTTCTTTTGCCTTTGTATTTTTCTGATGTTAGGTGTTTTAGGATTTTTCTTTCTTTTAAATAATCTCCCTCTTGAGATATTTGACAATTCTTTTTTATGGCAGTTGGACCTAGATTTTTGGCTTATGGAAGATTGTTGTCATTGAGAACCTTCATCAGTTTGGCTTTTTTTTATGACAGCTGGACCTATCAACTCTTAATTTTGACAATGCACATGAAAGGCTGTCACATCCTTTTTTGAAAAAAGACATTATATACATTTATTGCGTGTATATTTTTCGTCCATTGCTTGTTATTGCAAGCTTATTAATTGTGTATTGATTGTTCATTGTCTTTGTATAGCCATTTATTGCCTTTTATGATAATACATTGGGGGCAATACATTGGCAATATAAAGGCAATTAGGGGCAATGCAGTGGCAAAATGAAGGCAATTGGAGGCTATATAGTGCCAATACTAGGGCAATAGGAGGCTATACATTGGCAATACAAAAACTCCAATAGTCCACGATTTTGTAAACATTGCTATCTAAAGGATACATTAAATTTGTGATAAGGCTATGAGATTATTTTGTACTAGTTATATGTTGTTGTTCGTATTTGTTCTTCTGCTACTTTTGTTATCTTTCTTTATATTATATGTTTGTGGAATCCCTCAAAGTAAACATATACTGGGGAAAAAAAATTACAGTGAAGATATAATCACTCATATAGACAAGGAGAAAGATTATGTGATTGGACAATGCTTCTGACTGATGTGTGAGGCTTTTCAAAAAAAGTAAGTCATCATTTTATGTGATTGGACATGATAGAAATACTTTATTGATTCCCCATGCGGCGTCATATTGACAACTTATTGAACACCTTTGACGTATTCAAAGATTTAGACGCACGCACCCATGATGACTTCAAACCATTGTCCAAATATTATATATGTAGATTATTATAATAAAACAGATACTTTTACAGCCTTATATATGAAAGGAAACTAATACTTGTATTATTAAAAATTAGATAATGAACATTAAGGAAATATACTTGTAATGTTGGTTATTGCAAAATATATTTTTTCGGTTGAAAGGAAAGTGAGTTATCAAAAAATTCCAAACATTCACGGGAGATACTTGTTGATGTAGGTTATTGAAGTTGAAGTTAACAAGGATATATAACTAGGGTTGAGAGGAAAGTGAGTTATCAAAAGGCATTTGGCTTATTTTCATTATGAAATGGATGATTTATAGCTTCCCCTAGTTTTATAACGTGACAAGGAGGCTGGAGTAATTTTCGGGGCATTTTTAGGATTTTCTTACTATTTATTACCTTTTTCAAATATTTTTGCTCTAAAAAAGCCAAAATAATTGCAATTATAAGCAACACGTGGCAGCAACTAAAGGTGGCGCCGTCAGTGTTTCCAAAAGGTGGTGTAACACGATTGCACCACATGTCATTTTGATTACTTTTCAAGTTTATCTTTATAAAAAAAAAATTAAAAAAATGTCATAGAAATACACCCAAAATTGCTACAAACTCCTCATGACATCATCCTCGATTATGGAGATCCAAAATTATGATTTCACATATTTGAGTTCAAGGTAGTTGTTGGATCAAAGAACATGAGTGTTAAGTTACAAAACATCAACTAGTGGTTTATATTGTTTTAAAATAAATTTGAGTTTACATTATCACTTTACATTTTTCTAAGTGAAAATCTTTCTTTTGTAGTTTGAGGGTGTAGAGAATGTCACAAGGGGTTCTTAGGAATTTTTGGTGTATTTTTTGGATTTTTAATTAATTAATTATGAATTTTATAAGTAAAATCTAGGAAAAATAATATTAAATAGTATATGGCAACATGTGGCAGCAGCTGAAGGTGGTGCCGTCAGTGTTTCCAACAGGTGGCGTACCACGATTGCTACACATGTCATTTTGATTACTTCACCAATTTTATATTTGAAAATTCTTTAAAAAAATACACTGAAAATTGCTAAAAACTCCTCAAGACATCATCCATGATTATGGAGGTCTAAAATCATGATTCGCGTATTTGAGTTTAAGGTAATCTTTGGATTAAAGAACATGAGTATTATGTTATAGGACATCAACTAGTATTTTCAATTACTTAGAAACAAAGTTGAGTTTTTGTTATCACTTTACATTTTTATAAATAAAAATTATATTTTTAGAGCTTGATGACGTAGATAATGTCACAAGAAGTTCCTAGGAATTTTCGGTGTATTTTTTGGATTTCAAATTAATTTATTATGAATTTTAGAAGTTAAATTCAAGAAAAATAATATTAAATCATATTAAGCGACATGTGGCAGCAGCTGAAGGTGGCGCCGTCAGTGTTTCACCCAACAAGTGGCGACCCACAATTGGTCTATACCCTTTAATATTATTTTTCAAGTATTTAAATTTTAAAATGCATAATAAATAAATTAAAAATCATAAAAATACATCAAAAATTGCTACAAACTCCTCACGACATCATCCTTGATTATGGAGGTCCAAAATCATGATTTAACATATTGAAGCTTACAATAATCGTTTGATCAAATCCAAATAACTTGAATGTTATGTTATGAAACATTAGTTAGTGTTCTAGATTGTTTAGAAACAAAATTAAATTTTTGTTATCAGTTTATATTTTTATAAGTGGAAGTTATATTTTCAGAGCTTGAGGACATAAAGAATGCCACAAGGAGCTCAAGGACTTTCTGGTGCATTTTTTAGATTTTTAATTTATTTATTATGAATTTTAGAAGTTAAATCCCAAAAAAATAATATTAAATTATAGG